AAATTCATGTAGCATAGGATGTAAATGCACTTGATATATTAAGTTTAGTACCAGAAAGTAGACATTTAAAGACACTGAGATTTGTGTGAGGCATACAGTTGTGTATGTGGGTCTGTATAAAATGGGTTATTGGTAGTAATAGGGTTTTCACCTTGCAGTCCAAGATACTAACCTGCAAAAATGGCGGAGTAGAACTTCAGGTGTCACCTGGCCAGTGATGTCTGTTGCTCACACATGACATGAAGAGGGAGATGTATGTCATGTAATAAACTGTTGTTGTGCAGAGAGTATCACGAAAGACTGACTCCCATTCAACCCACCTTTCTAACTCATAAGTTGAAGACTGAAAGCCTCTGGGAAATTCTTAATGTCGAGACGACATTTATTTTGGAGGGGAGAGTGTGGGGCCCATATTAATATCAGGCATGTTCATGGACACTAGGCACCCCCCCAGTCTCATTGTTTTTGATATTTTATTTTATTATCTTGTTCAATCATACTGTTAGATATTTCTGTACAAAGGCACTGTGATATTTTAGTTGGTACATTTGTGGGTCAAGTATCACACAGGCACTTTTGGGGCAACTCTGGGCAGCACAGGGGTCTTTAATGCCATGCGTAGCTCAGTCGGCCCAGATGTCCGAGAGTGTGCAGCCACGCTGAGTTGATGTGTTTGTGTCTCTGTGTTTCAGGTGAGCAAAAGTGATAAAAGTGACAGTTGGAAATCCACAGTTAGCCTTCTTTAATATTTACTGTGTGTGTGTGTGTGTGTGTGTGTGTGCACAGAATATTTGTATAAGTGTGTGAGAGAGTCATAAGCATCATCTTTGATTAGCAGGTGTTTGATGCCATGCGTAGCTCAGTCGACCCAGATGTCCGAGAGTGTGCAGCCACGCTGAGTTGATGTGTTTGTGTCTCTGTGTTTCAGACCGAAGTAAAAGAATAATCAGAAAACCCATGCACGCTTGGTTCTTTGTGTACAAGTGTGCAACACGAGCTTGTCAACAAAACAAATGGCATTATTTTAAACTTACTTAAAGCAATTCTTTCCTGATTTTATGCTTCAAATGTCTTAAATTACGATTTTCATCCTGTCATGTCAGGTCATTGTGACTCAAAATGAGTGTACGTTGACCTTTATTCTCAAGGCTACCTCCCATACTATGTTTGAAAACTTGAGGCACCACGAGAAGGCGTGCATTATTTATATTTCTGTCTTCTTTGCAGAGTCACACCAGGAGATTCACACGTCCTCAGATCTTCTGTTCATCATCTTCAGAAACCTTCTCCCTGTAGTGATGATGGCTCCGCTGCTGTTGCTGCTGAGACGGCTTCACTGTCTCAGCTGATTTCAGATGCCGAAATAAAAGATAGGACAGGCTGAACAATTAAACAGACATTTTCTTGTTTGGTTGCCAGAAATGAAGAACATCCCATAATGCTTCATTCATCTGCTTTCTTTCATGTGTTACATCACCTCGTTAATTATATGTAATGATGATCCACTTATATTCAGTGCATGTTGTGCAAACCAATGAAAATATTGTACATTTCTAAACAGCTAAAAGAATCCAATCATTAGAATTTTTTTTAAATGAGCAGATGAAAGATAATGGCAGCTCTTCCTGTTTGACATGTTTCACATATTTAATTCACATGTTGATTCATTTAAATTTGTCTCCAGCAACAGATGTTCTTTCTGCTTCTATATGAAGGTGTGAAGTTTCTAAAAGTCAACTGACATTGTTCAAACCACAGTTTGTTTCAGTGTCTTTCTATTTTAAGATTCACATCTGAGACCACGTCTTCTCTAACCCTATAGCCCACGAGCCTCAGAGCTTCACTTTCTGTTTGTATCTACCTAAAATATCGACCTATAATTGGAACATCTGTGATGGTAACATGAACATTTCAACTGTAATATTCCACTGGATGTTTTTATATCAACAACAATTCAAAGAACATCTGTCTATCTGTAATAATAGTTCACATGTTTTATTAAAGATGTGTGATGGAAGTCTTTTTTGTCTTCTTTTGATGCAGTGAGGTCGGTGAACAATACGATACACTTTATTGTCCTTTTGGGGAAATTCTCTGGAACTCACAGTGCTGCCAAACATTCAGCTGATCCCTCCACAATCAATAATAAAACCAATAGACAAACTCATCCACATGTAAACAGGCACATATCAATACAGAACAACACAACACATAGTGCACATTACCCATAATGCACAGGATCTGCAGAAACACAGCATGGGAGACAAGTGCACAGGTAAGAGAACATAAAAAGCAAACAGGGACACCCTGACGCTATTGCCCAACCCACACAGCCTTACGAAACATTATTCAGAATTTTTATCAACGTAAGAACAAAATAGTTTTTATAAACGCTCAGTTTACATCGCAAGACCCGTTATCGTCTGCCAGAAGGTAGAAGCTCGTACTCAGAGTGGAGGATGTGAGAAGGCTCAGACAACACTCTCTGTGCCAGTCTGAGAACAGACTGCTCGTTGACTGTAGGGAGAGACGTCTGCACCAGACGAGCAAGTTTAGATTTTAACTGAACAGAGAGATTACTGTATCATGCTGACATACCATTCCTGAGGACACTCTCCAACACGGCCTGACAAAACAAAAACTGAGCTGATCTGATGGTCAACACCAAACACCCTGAGTTTACGTAAGAAGTACAGTGTGACTTATTTGACTTTTGCAGCTTAACAGTTTATTAAGGTGTATACCAAGATACCTGTAGGCGGTGATTTGGTTGATTCTTTTGTCATGGATAAAAATAGGGGCATGATCTCATCCAGAACGAGGATCCAGCACCATCTCCTCTGTTTTAAAGATCCCATATTATGCTTTTTCTGGTTTTATATGCCCTTTAGTGTGTTTTCCAAGCGTCCTGTGCATGTTTAGGTACATCTATGTGCAAAAATTCAAATTTGCGGAAACACGGCTTCTCCTACGTCCTCCTGTTAGCTGTAGCATTAGCCGCATGTAACGCTCGGTTCTAGCCCTCCTTGAAAATAATTTGTCAGTGCAGCGTCATTGTCAGTGTGAGATCACTGATCTAGGTCCAGTGGCTCGTTGTGGCCCTGCAGCTCATGTTGAAATTTCCGAGACACGTGTTGAGCAACTGACCAATAACGACAGAGCGGTTCGGCAGACCAATCAGAGCAGACTTGGCCCACGTGGGGTCTAACAGTCTGGGCTCAGCAGAGCGTAGCTGACCCCCAACCCCGAGCAGTACATGAAAACAGACACTTTTTTCAGACTTTAGCTATTGTGAACGTACAAAAGTAGATACATAGATTAAATATACGAACCCCAAAAAGGGCATAATATGGCCTCTTTAATTACATTTACAACAAGGCAGTTAGCATCACATCAACTGAACAACAGTCTGTACTTCAGTGAAATATGATGAGGGATCCATGTCTTGGTACAACAGGCTGAGAATGGTAGTGTCGTCAGAAAACTTAAAAAGCACAGTAGTGGGCAGAGAAGAGCTTGTTTATTTTTAGTGTGTGTTTGTGTCAGAGGTAGAAACACAAAAATGGCCTTGGAGACTTAAATTACACGTGGCTACTCAAAAAAAGATGAACATTTTTGATTTCAAATATTTATAGAATCTTGTTTGGTGGACAAAGTAATGTTTACAAAGGAAAACACATGCTAAATATTCAATTGACAATGAATCAAAGCGCATGGTGTTGTTTAAGTTGTTCTGAGTCTGATGATGGATTAAAATTTAAAACAATAATTTCATTCACAGAGAGAACCCATAAAGACCACCATAGAAAACAGCACATAACACTGCAAATAGTGATGACTGAACCCAGAAAAAGACAAATCTGTCACATGTATCACTCAGTCATGGTTTCATCAGGAGTTCCGGTTTAGCTCAGAGGGTCGAGTAGAGATAGATAAATAGATAGATAGATAAATACTTTATTCATCTCCTGGGGGAAATTCAGGAGTGTCCCATAGCTCTCAAGTTAGAAAAAATAGAACAAACAGAGAAAACAAAACATCAATATTAATTCAAAACAGATAGAACATCACCAACATTTCACTGCACACATCAAAAGACCAGAGCCTCCTCAGGAAAAAGAGTCAGCTCTGTCCGTGTTCACAGTCCAGTCAAGTTTATTGTCCAGATGCACACTTAAGTATTTATAGATTTGCACCACCTCAGTGACTTCCCCTCTGATGTTAACTGGCTTAAAGGGGGACTTGGACCTGCGAAAGTCCAAAACCATCTCCTTCGTTTTTGCAGTGTTAAGCAGGAGGCCATGAAAACTAGAAGCTACAGTCCTCCAAGGTTCAAGGCACTTTTTGGTACCTGTCTCCCCACATTTTCTGTCCCTCTACATCTGTCCAGTGAAAGAAAATACCCCCCATTATAATGTAAAATAAATGGATGATTGTTCAGCATGTTTAAAACTGTCTTGTCAGACACCTTTCATGATTTTGAAGGTCAAAACCAGAAACTGTATTTAGTATCACTTTGTTTCAGAACTGTAATGACCTCATTAACATCCATGTTTTCCTCTTGCAGTGCCAGTGGACTGATCTGTTATTTATTAAATAATTCAAGAAAAAGAACAACATCAAAAAGGACTCATTATGTTCCCTTCAGCCGTTGTTGTAGTTAAGTAAGCATGGAAAGAAACAAGCTAGCAAGCATAAAGAGGCTGGAGATATGGTGAACCTTTTATCTAATTAACATTAGCATGTTAGCATGGTCATTTCGAACATGTTAGCATGCAGATAATAGCATTTAGCTCAAAGCATTTGTGTTCCTTTGCTCAAAATCCAGAGAATCACTGACTCTGAGAAAAAGTCATTTTTTGTATCAAGATTTTGCCTCACATATGTCGGCTTCAGTCTTTGGCTCCGCCAAATGATGCAAATCTATCAACTGAAGCTACACCACCACCACAGCAGCTCAGTCAGTGTGAACATTGTTTTAAAAATATCTGAATGTCAAACTTAGGGTGACATGAGCAGCAGAAATAAGCCACACAGGAAGAAGCCCCTCCTCAGCTATGCTTCAGTTCAGTGTTCAGACAGTCAACATGGAGGTCGGCGGCCTCCGCATCAAACTCTGTGAGTACGTTTGGTTAAACTAAATGATGTTCTCGTTAAAGGTTAGGATGGTGATAAATAACAATCTCTGAGACCCTTCAGTGGTTTAATGCAGAGGAAGCTATTGGTGCTAGGATAGGCTTTCAGGTTTCAGAATATTTAAACAAAGTTCAGGACTTGAAAGATAAAACTTTAAAAGTCAAACATCAAAGGCAGCTTTAGGAGCTGTAAGAATAGAATCAGTACAATATACGACTGTTAAACACGTCTCAGTGATTTGGAGCTCTTCTCTTTTGTTATTTCAGTGGTCCACATCTTATTCCTGCTGTGTGCACATGTTCAGGACGTTGGTAAGTACCAAGTTGTTGCTTGGCTGTATTTTAACTTCCTTTGGTAATTTCTGGTGAAATAAGAGAACTCGTCTCTTTGATTTGTTTCAGATTCACTGATTCTCCGTCCTGAACCAAACATGCTGCAGTTCTTTGAATATGAGTCTCTGATCTTTCATTGTGAGGGCTCTTCCGGCTCGACTGGACTGAAAATTGTACATCGGTCCAAAGGGGAAGTACAGACATGTGAAACTCCAGTGACATCAACAAGGTCATCCTGCTCCATTAAAAATCTTTATTTAGAGGACAATGGACAATACTGGTGTGAGTCTGGAGATAGGAAGACAAGCGACGTCATCGATATCACTGTTACTGGTATGTTTGCATTAAGACGAGCTCTTTACATGAACTCATCTTTGTTTGATATAAAATATGAACCCTATGTTGTTCAGCTGGTCCTGTGATCCTGGAGAGTCCCATCAGTGTGGTGAAGGGAGAGGATGTGACTCTGCGCTGCAGAAACAAGACGACCTCACCCAACCTCTCAGCTGATTTCTACAAAGATGGACGCCTTATCGGAAGAAGCTCTACAGAAAACATGACAATCCACGGCGTTACCAAATGTGATGACGGACACTACAAGTGTACCATCTCTGGAGGAGGAGAATCAGCTGAGAGTCGGATGGCTGTTGAAGGTGAGATACATTAGTGTTTACAAATCAAATGTAAACATACATGAGATATAAATCTGTGTTGAAACTGAAGCAGAGTATATTTATTGATTTGAAAAAGGACAGTGTACATTAATCAACATTCAGATGGATGTAAATGTACTTCTATGTGGGATGGGTCTTTTAAATGACCTTACACGAAAAAAATATATTTATTCATTCATTCATTCATGGACCCAAGTTAGCCCAAAGGCTAATTTTTGGCTCACATCATCTTCAACTCTTTGTAGGTGACAATGATTCAAGAGTTTTAAGAAATTTGAATTGTGCTAGAAATCAATGAGCTCTTAGAAGCTCTCATTTAAAGATGAACTGCAAACATTACATTAATATTAAAAGTTGAAATTTACAGGTTTCAAATCATTTTATTTTTCTTGTCATCTGTCAACCCATCCTAACCTAAAATCCTCTTTCATTTTTAATTTAGTCATTCTAGAACCCAACGGCGAGATGGCCTTCCCATGGAACGTTATCATTGTTTTATTGGTTCTGCTGGTGCTGGTTGGACTTCTTCATCTCGCCAAAGGTTATTGGAACAGAGGTACAAACACATTTCACTAACGAGAGGCACTTATAGCGATTGATGAGTCACAGTTCCCATGGAACATTTGCACTTGAAGTGATCTTAGAAGTCATTTTGTTGAATGTATTTAATGGAGGAATGGGCCAGTTAATAACAGTGAGGTCTTAAACACAGCTAATGTATTCTTACAACACCTGAAATCAGTAGAGTCAAACCCTGATGATGCAAACATCCAGCACAGAACTTATTATATGAATGGTTGGTTGTAACCACCTTTTTAATTCATAACTGTATTTGACAAATATCTTCTGGAAATAAAGCAAGAACAAAACAAGACCACTGCAAGTCTTTAGACCAGGAAGTGGCTTTATTGTTTTATCATGTCTAAGTCTCTTCCTGGTTCTCTGTTGATAGTGTTTTTTTTATTTAATGCCCTGCAGTGTTGCTGTACTTGTCCACACTGGCACCTCAATCAGGCACAACTGAGGTTCAAACAGGTAAGAACAGGTATCATTACAATGTTCAGGTCAACTTGTGCTTCATTCAAAGGAGTGATTAGTTAAAAAGGGTTAGCCTGCTTGTTTTAACCAGGATAATCTGATCAAATGTCCTTTGAAGTGTGAAAAGGGAGCAATTAAAAGTGTTCTGTTTCCAGAGATGTTTATTTAGATGTTTTAGTCAGTGGTTGACGTTCCTTTGATCCATGGGGACTCGAGTAGTTAAACAGGTTTGATTCATTTGGGGAGAGTCGTTGGGGGTCAGGCATAGCCAGTCTTGCTTATGTCACCATTCAAAGTTTGGCTCACAAACGTACACATTACAGAGCTCTTGGCCCAAGCAATATGAAAAGATGACAGAATAGAGGGGTGGAAATTAAAGGTACAGAGCACAATCTGTATTTATTTTTATTTAACCTTTATTTAACCAGGAAAAAGTCTCATTGAGATTAAAAATCTCTTCTACAAGAGCGTCCTGGCCAAGACAGGCAGCAGCATAATTACAGGGGTTAGGGGTTCAGACATGAAACACTTAACAACAATTTACATAACAGGATTCACAAAATGAAACATTGATCAAAATCTGTCATAAGTCATCAGCAGCAAAGCTATCAAAAAGGGCAATATGAGTTAATTAAAACATCTACAGTCAGATATTTCTGCCTCCAGATCATTAAGAAGACCTTTAAAAACATTCAATGAAACCAGCTCCCGAAGATTTAAAGTATCTTGCAACCGATTCCAAGAAGAGGGAGCAGCTTACTTACGTCCTTTTACCAGCTCAGTACAAGGATGGTAACTTCCTGTATGTAGCTCTGTAGGTAGGATGGAAGCAGGCAGAGAATACCCTTATAAATAAAAAATATTCCAGTGGTTTAGTCTACATTCAGACAAGGCAGATCAACCAACCAGAGCATAAGAGGAGCACTGGTGAGTAAGGGCTTTAAAACTGGTGATAAACCTCAGCGGCCCAAGTCAGCTGGAGTGTTAACATTTATGAGAAATCTGGACCTGGATTGGGTTTCACAGTCCTTCATAACAAAATCACAAAGACAGTTTATGGAAATGGTCAAATCGTCTTGGAAAGCTATTACACTGATGAGACGGGACATGATCACAATGTCAGAGGAAAAGAGATGTAGGGGTCATGATTTAACCAGCGCACAGCCAGATGCACACGTTCCCCGGTATGTTGCGTAAGTGCTCGTGGGGGCTTCGTCCTGTGCCGTACAAAATTAACAAACACAGTACAGTGAAGAGCAACAGAATTTAATGTTTCTTTCCCATATGAAACAGCATAAACCAGTTAGAGCAACAGATATTTGGTTCACACAGCCTATAGTCCCAAATCACAGCGTGGTGGGCGGATTCAAAGTTTACCGTTATTTCACAGACAAAACGGGTATCACTCAGTCATACACAATAAATGACACACAGACGCTCTGACAGGTAAAGATGTGCTGCCATCTTGGATGTGCTGCTACAGCTAGAAGGCAACACACAATAGGGTTATTTGCAGATGATGTCTGTCTTACTAAATTAATGAGATTGTTAGAATCCTATCACTATTTTTCCGGATACAAACTAAACACTGCAAAAACACAGGTGTTGTCTATAAATTACCCATACAACAGACATATAATTTCAGATGGAACACAAAATCACTCCAATATCTAGGAGTGATCCTCCACTCCAATTTGGGTTAGGGTAAGACGAGACAAGACGCCTCATAGCCCATTTCTAATGAACAGAATGATCCATGCATGCGCCGAACCGTGGCTCTGGAACCGAATGGTTCGTATTTTTGTCCGTCCGTTCCATCCCTAATGTCTATATATTTGTAATGTACTGTATCATTGTGGATTCTTATCACGTGTTTTTATTTTCAGTCTCTGTTGAGGCCGGTCGAGAGGCAGCAGATGCAAACCAAGCGATGTACGCTGTGGTTTTGAAAAACAGGACAAAGAAAGGTACCTCACCTGACAGTTTATTCTGTAACAGTTCATTTCACGTTTAAGATTGTCTTTCCTATGTCTTGATATTAAACTCTTTTTCTCTTGAACCTGGGTTAGTTTAACAACATTAAATGAGGCCTTCACAAGTCCGTATCTGAAGGCCATCTGTTTTAGCATAATGGTAAAGTTCTTCACTGGGAAATAGAAACAAGTTATCATGTTTCTCTAGAGTAAAAGCCTGAGAGTTAAAGTATTTTCTGATAAATTCTAAAGAGAAGTAAAAGTACATTCAAACACTGAGAATATTCAGTAAATAGCACTTTGTAAACCCTTGCTATACACATAAAGTTATTATTATTGATTATTAAAACTTAAAAAGTAAATTTTACAAGCTTGACCATGTTGTGTATTTAATGCTGTTAACAGACATAGAACAGGGTATCATCTGCATTTTGATGAATGATAAATTACACACGAGAGGAAGCAGGAAGGAAAAGCTAAAAGTCAAATAGGATTTAAACCTGAGCCATGGAGAACCCAAAACAACAGGATAGCAAAAGATAAGACAGGTTAAAGCAAAGAATTCTTTTCATTTCATTAAAAATAATTAAATACTTAAATATAAATACTAAATAGAAAATGTGCTAAATAAGGTGAAATGTTACAAGCTTAAAGAGCATATTGCAGGTTAAATTTGTATGTAAATTAACACTAAACATTGTCTGATAAAGGCTGTAGAATATGTCAATGTTTGATTTGATGTGTTATACAACACAAAAGGGCAAAAAATTTGAGGAGAAAGTGGCCGTTTTCAGTATAGCTGTTTAGAACGCTCTTTTTTTCAACATCGCGTCATATGACGTAGCATGGGGGACTCGG